CTACGAGCCTATTAACGCTGGTGTTCCACAAGGCTGTGTGCTATCACCAACGCTGTTTCTTCTGCATATCAATGATATGTTGCAAACTGGTAACATTCAGATATGCGGATGACAGCATTGGTGATGCTCAATACACCGGCCGTGCCAATATTTCTCGGGAAAACGTCACCGAGTACCGGAACAAACTTGTGTCTGAAGTCGAGTCTTTGCTGAACAAAGTCTCGGATTGGGGGCGACTAAATGTAGTCCAGTTTAATCCTCAGAAGACACAAGTTTGCGCATTTACCGCTTAAAAGAACCCCTTTGTCGTATCTCTTCAATTTCAAGGCACTCCCCTTGTTGCCGCAGCCAGTATCGGAATCCTCGGCGTCGACATATCGAGTGACGTGCAGTTTCGTGGTCACTTGGTAGAGAAGGTTAAATTGGCCTCTAAAAAGCTTGGCGTGATCAGTAGAGCGGGACAGTATTTCATGGCGGCACAACGCCTGCAACTTTACAAGACGCAGGTTCGGCCTCACATGGAATACTGTTCCTATCTCTGGGCCGGGACACCCCAGTGCCAGCTCCTTCCACTTGACCGCATCCAGCGCAGAGCGGCTCGAATCGTCGAGGACCGAGTCCTTTCCGATCGGCTCGATTCATTGGCACTGCGAAGAGATTTGCATCCCTTTTTTCTTTCGGGGAGTGCTCTGAGGAATTGTTCGGATTAATCCCAGCCGCCAAATTTCACGAACGCACATCGCGGCAAAACTCCCGACACCATCCACACCATCTGGATGATTGGCGGTCCACCACTGTACGATTTAGAAGATGTTTTCTTCCTCGCACAACTTCCTTGTGGAATCGATTACCATCTGCGATTTTTAGGGACCTTAAAGAAAAGAGCCTACTCCTTTTTAAAAGGCTGGCAATGCATCTGCAACTCCCCTGGTTCCCTTGGTATTGCAAGTGTTCATGGGTGGCGGTAGTCACTTACCATCAGGTGAGCCGCATGCTCGTTTGCCCCCTCCTATAAAAAAAAGAAAGATGCTGCTGCCCATCTTCTACCTCAGTTTCCCTCTGTCGCCTCTTACGGCACCTACGGGAAGATATGGGATAGTGGGGTATTCTTACCTGCCACTACAGGTAATTTAACGACTCCATACCTCCGCCGCACGCGATAGCTCACACGCCTCACTCAACGTAACCAATTATTTGATCCTTTAGCTTTCGAGTAGCGTAATTAAATTTTGGATGTAGATGATAGATCTAACTACAACACCTGTATCCCATCCCCCCACCACCCCGATGTTGTTATCATCAGTTTTCTGAATCGCCTCCCTCTGTGGAAGCAAATTTAAAGTCGTATTCACGTCAAAACTGAATAATTCGCCTTTTTTGTTAGACGTCGATTCAGCCACGCAACTAGATTTATGCCCAAACACTCAAACGCCACTGAATTTTAAGTCGCGAGACGAAACGTCTTAAAATTGAGTAGCATTTGAGTATCTGCCCATTAGTCTAGTGTGGAGTGTGGACTTATACTTTGACAGAGGGGAACGCTTGCGTATGGCTGCTCCGCTCCGATCCGCCGGTGGCCTGTGTTGATCTATGAGGTGTAACACGTGAACAACATAATATAAGAAAGAGACATATTATTTACCAGCTTACTACTTTGGTACCTCCCATTTGACTAGCTTAGTTTTTTCTTGGTCTAACCACTTGGTAGTTACCGGCACTAGTTAGTATGTGGTTGGTTTTAATCATGCCCTTACGTTAAAAGCATATAATTATGTACTTAGAATATACTAGCGTATATTAGTACTAAAGTGCGCGCAAGGTAACACTGCGCGCGACTGATGGCGTACTTAATGTTACCAGCTTAACTAATATTTTTTTAAATAAAACTAATTTTACGGATTTTATGCTTTCCAGCACCCGTGGTCACGGGTGCTGAAAAGCACCCTAAACGTCGGGAATATAAAAATAAGTTAATATACGCAATAAAATCCGTAAAATTAGTTTTATTTAAAAATGTGTAGTGTTCGCGTAAATATAAGAAATCATTAATATTTTTGCCTTCATTTAATCTTATTACTAAAATTATATAAATACTAGCTGTGCTCCGCGATTTTACCCGCGTATATCACGCGTATGCGCCTTGCGACATGCGAACTTCGAGAGAGACATCACGAGGGACGGTTGCTGAATTAAAAAAGATTTAAAAAGTTAAATATGTTACTAAAATTACATGGCTAACGTAATTGGTGGTTATGCATGATACGTACCTGTATATACTGTGATACCTGTGATACGAATAATGTGGCCTATTTTGTACCGACGTTACTATTTCACATTATAACATGAAAAAGTAGTTTATGACATAACTGTAATAGTTAAACATATAGTATCGCAGACTTTTTTGTAGATATTGATATCCTCTATAAAATTGAAGTACATTACTTTGCTCTATTATCAATAGTTTCCGCAGCGTACGCGATATAAGGATTCTTTTTGATATTTTTTTCACACCTGGGTTACATTATTGAAGTTTTCATATGGATCCCTGACTTTTTTGAAAATATTATATAACCTATGTTCATCAGGGATAATGTAGGATTCTAATGGTGAAAGAATTTTTCAAATCGGTCCAGTAGTTTCGGAGCCTATTCAATTCAAACAAACAAACAAACAAATCTTTCCTCTTTATAATAGTAGTTATATAATTATATCAAATTACGTAAATGACCGAATTGATTACCAAAGATCAGTTAAAAAAATGTAATGTTCAGCTTAAACTTACAAAGACCTAATAAATATTAAACCCTATATTTATTGTTTAAGATTCGCATAATAAATATATTTCTTGATTGTAACTTCCGTAAGTTTCACACTACACTTCACATTTTTCTATAATAAGATTTAAGTTAATATAAATTATTCCTAAAAAAAAAACATTTGAACGTTTAATTAATGCGAACGAGTTTGAGAAAAAAAAAGTGAAATACACACTTTTATTTTTGGTATTCTTCTCAGCAAACCGTTTTATTTGATACCCACAGCATGGGAATGCACAAAAAATAACTAGACCCCCATCTTTGGGAGTCCGCCATATTGGATTTAGAATGACTTCACTTATTTTCATCTAAACTTAACGTATATGCAAAATTTCCGCTACATCGAAAACCTAAAAGTTGGTCAAAATTTAACTTTCAATTTTTTTTACATAATTATAGGTGAAGATATTATATGCATGTTAGAAATTACTATTATTATGATTAATGAACAGTGATATTTTGTCTCTAATGAATTTTTCAAAAAATATTTATTATAAAGAACGAAATTAAAAGTTCATGGAAACCTTGTAAATCTTTTATTGAATACCCAGACGTATTTGTAAATATCGTGTAACAACGGTCTTGCAGTGGATCAACGCTTCCCATTCGCACATCTTCATCAGAATCCATGCTAAAGTCTTCATCAGAAGACTCTGATGTGTCGCCTGTGACATTAATTATAAATTTATCCATTTCCATATAAATCAGCCTATCTGAGTCGAAATATTTATCTCCTATTTTTTCTACTTGTAGACATACATTGAGAGTCATTCTTCTGTCATTACTGTTCTAAAAGCCACTTCAGTAATAGCGGCTAGTCTCTTTTGTTTTTTGATAAATTCATATAAATGCGCTCTTGTCCGACAATCATTCATTTCCCGTAATCCACTCTTGGAACTCTGCTTTTGTATTGCCAATTTTAGGCGCCTTGTTTATTTGTGTGGTATGACGCATTATCCATTACTACAATGCAATTTGTTAGTAGATTTAGCACAAATTCTTGACGATTCTTAGATAATACATATTAGATAATAGCATAGGGAAAATATTATATTCTTCTCAGAATATATTTTGCTCTCCAAGCTGCAATATCACTGCGTTCTATCAATACGTTTCGTTTAAACTGGCACCTTTTGTATTTGTAGTCTATAGTCTTTAAGCTACTACTCAACGATGTTCTGCCATATTTAAAATCAATATCAGTTTTCAATTCCAACCAAAGATTATTTATGGCAGGAATCTCTTTCTTCAGGATGTTAAACGATTGATTTAAATGCCTTATAGCGCCACATATGAAAATCGTCTAAAATATTATTTTTTCCCTCCGGTTCCTAGTTTTTCCAGGCGTCACAATTTTATAAAATGAAGCTGCCTCTACATTATGTATCCTCTTGAGTTCTTTGGGTGACGGTGCGTTCAGAAACTATATATATGATTTTAATGACACGAGGAAACTAAAAACGAACAAATCGAGAAAATTAGGGAGTTTTATTTGTTATGGCAGCCCTAAAAATTACCTGTGGAAATATGAAAAGTGGGCTCTGACTTTGGAAAATGGTACTGTAGACCCGTTATTATCTCCTTCACAAGCACGTTTGACCTTCAATATAATATATCTGCCAGCAATTTTAATCACTCGGCATAATGATGACGATTATTTACTGCAAAAAAGGAATAAAAACACGACACCTAACACTCTGTTTTGACACCTGCCATAAACAGTAAGATCACGATTAGTTCCAATTTTGGCCGCGCGTAGAGTTATCTTGCGCGCACTTTAGCGTATATTCTAAGTCTATGAAGCTTGACATTAATATAAAAATGTTTTTTTTTTTACTATCAGAAGTTGATGCCCAAGAAGCTTTTTTATGCTTCTTGGCGATTTTGGCAACTCTACCAGCGTTGCCACTTGCAACCAGTGGAGTAATAGTGTTTTGTGCTTGCAACTCTGATATCTGATACTCTGTGACAGATGGCAATTAGGCTCAGAAGGGCTAGAACCCAGAGCCATAAAGCCAGTTTAAGAAAATGGCAACTGACATTGACAGTCACACAGGAAACAAGACACAGAGTACTTTTATATATACTGAAACAAGAAAACAAAAATACGTAAGCCGAAGTAGACTTGATTGTTTTATTCTCATCTCTATAAATACAAAGTTGAGACTAATAACTAAAACAAAAATGAACTTTACTCCTGAATTAATAGCCATTCAAGGTGTCATGATATCAGCCGACAATGTTAATTCTTTTTCTAAACTTACGGCAAGAGGAGGTAGGACAATATCAACCTCACTTTTATTTTATAATTTCTAATTTCTAATAAAATGTTTTGAAAATCTAAATACTGTTAAATATAAATAAATTTAAGTAACGCCTACCGCATACATTTTTATATGGATCAAACTAAGTGGAGTTGTGTGCTTGTAAAGATTTCATGACGATTGAACTGTTGGTCGATGATGGTGCCCTTTAAGTGGTTCCAGTCGTTACCGATTTACTAGTTTGTTTTAGTTTCATTTGTAGAGCGGTCGTGCAGCAATCAATTATACTTAATAATTACACTTGCCAAGATACATTAGAAAGTACTTGTGCATTGCTTTATATATTAAGGATAATAAAAAAATAAGTAAAGAAGCCATACCACTTCAACTTCACTAATGCATAACTAAATAGTTGACAGATTGACTGTTTTAACGAGCCTATGTTTATTGATATATAATCACTTACATTGAACTGTAGGTTGATATTTGTTCGACCAAGCTTCGTTCGCAAAGCCATTGGAGCCCGGTGGTACCAGTGAAACTCAAAAACGCACATGGGGATTATGAAATTCCGACAATTGAATATTACAGTGAAATGTCTGAGCTATTTTGAGAGCACCAATGCCTGCGTGCCTTGAACATCGAACAATATGAGTTAGCCATCAGAGCCCGGGCTTGCCTCCCATGTTCAGACGACGGTTAGACAACTCATCTGTGCATTTAAAACCAGTGAACATTGTTAGGAAAGTAAATTTGGAAATAATAAACTACCACTATCATCATCATCACTCTCTTTTTTACAGAGGCCTAAGTCCTGAGTCCTATAATGCTGGAAAGGCGAATTGCATAACAGCACTAAAACCACAGAGCTAAGTTACAACCTAAATACGTCCCACTGCTGACCTCTCATATCTCACAATTCTGAGTGTTTTAGGGCAAGGAAATGTCTGCCATGCTGAACTCGTGTGTTGGTGGATTTCACATATCGTTGAATTATTTTTTTCTTATTTCTCAGGTTTGCTCTTGATGTTTTCCTTCACCGCCGAGCATGTGGTTGATCAGCACTTACAATTGCAATTAACAATTTCATTGGTGCTGTGAAATTTGCAGCAAGCCCTTAGCCCCTGATCTGCCATGGGACTTTTCATCACAGAAAGTAGATATATATAGTCAAACAGCAATTGTACGTAGTTATACAAAAACGTTCCCACCCACAAGTCATTAAAAAATGAGTTAAATATACAGATCTACTTATTTTGTCATTTTTAGTTTTTGTATAACTATGTCATATGAAGATGTCAAAATAAGTAGATCTTATATTTAACTTATTTATGAATAACTTGTGGGTTGGAACATTTTTCTATAACTATGTCCAATAGATGTTTGACTTTTCTTTTTGAGCAGCTTTAGACTTGCTGATATGTAGACCTCCATACATTCCCATAGACTTCTGTCATACAATTAAACAGTTTGTAATTGTTTGATTAAAAATTGTCTATATATTAATAATTTTTAATCACATAGTCTAACTTTCTTTATATTATTAGCTAGTGACCAATGGAAGTTTCTGTTTCGGCCGAAACTGACACCCAGACTGAAGGTTCGTTTTCGGTTTTGGTTTTGGTTGAAAATCCTGTTTTGGTCGGACACTACATATTACACTTAGTCTATTGATATTATGCATACTTAAGTCATAATAAATGTATTTCAGGCAATGAAGAACAAATTGAGGAAGTCGTACAATGTATAAGGAATTTCTTAGTAAAAGAAAAATATGCAAATGATAATTCAGTCTTGGAAGATGCCATAAAAACAGTCCGTAAATTCGCATTTTATATAGTTCTTAATGCTGATTTATTAATATTAGAAACTATGGTAGAAAACGAAGGCATTGATTTTCTTATTTGGACAATACCAACTGTACCAAAATGCTTAATGTGTGAAATAATGTGGAAACTTCATATGGATTTATTTGTAGGAGAAGTAATCGCATTCTGCTGCCCAAAACTGGGCTTAGAAGTAGCAGAATCATTCACTAACCATATGAAATATTTATGTCCAATGGATAGTGTTAACAAAGTTAAGCTTATTTCAGGAGCATTGTATAAACTAATATGTAGATTAAACTTTTTCGATATTGATGAAAACACTCTAAATTCTGCTTTGAATTGTTTTCAAAAATGTTTGAAATATTTTATTACTCCTCCAAATGCTGGAAAACTTGAGAGTCTAAGACGAAACCAATTATATAAATATATAGGGGAGAGCCTATACAAACTCCTCTTTTTGCTTAATGAATGCATAGAAGAATTTAGCGGCATTCATAAATATCATTTAGGTGATGATATAGGTATTTATACTTTAACATATGATGAAGAAAATGTGGTAAATAATAGCAATTTTAAAACAAGAGATTGTAAGAAATCGGTATTAGATTGTCTACATAAATGTCACGAGGAGCTATTGGACGTATCTAAAGAACTTGTAATGGCAGTTAGTGTTGATATTTTTTGTACATGGAGTGAATCGGAACTAAATGGTAAGAGTATGCAACAAACAATTGGAGAATTTTGTTACAAATTGCGTGAAAAGCTTATGAATGTGGAGACTATGGTTGATCATCCTGTGGTTGAAATGTTACAGCAGATTTCTTGCAAACCCATAGAGGTAGAAGATGTAATTAATACAACAAATACCACAGATATAAGTGAAAACATTAAAAATAGTGAAGATAAATCTCTGTGGGTTAGGGCATTATTGAGTAAAAATAATTTATTTCAGGATTTAGTTTTGATTGAAAACTTAACTTCAAATTTAAATTTATTGCAAGAAAATGATTTTCATAAACTGTACTATATGTGCATTGAACACTTAAATAAATTAACAGAAAATAAAGAAGCAGTTAAATTGTTAGCAATTAAATCATTCCAACATTGTGGATTAAGCACAAAACATAAAATTCTAGAAGACAGTTTCACAGAAAATTATTTTTCTGATCAAATGGAAACTACAGATTTTAATAATATGATGATAGAAATATTCAATAAGCTTATAGCTACACCGGATGCAGATTTGTCTGATATTTTATGTGTATTTATTCAAAGTCCTAAAAAGGTTTACAAGAAAATATTTTGCTTAGCTACTGAAAATGCACAACAATGTAGTATTATGGGTAGGATCATGAAATACTTGGAAAAATATTCAAATTATTATTATTATCAAGATACAGAATCATGCATTATAAAAACTATGCATTATATCATTGGTAGTGAACTAGTCAGTGAAGCTAAGCAAAATAATTTTATAAATTTTGTAGCTTTTATGAAAAATAATAATATTATACCTGGAGCTAAGTTGCTTCTGTTAGTTATAATGCCAACTTTACATGATGCATTAGTGAATAGAAAGTTAAATAGTATTTATATTCAACTGAAAATGTTGGATGAGGTCTACACATTAGAAGAATTGTTGGAATACAGAGCACCAATGTTGATGATGATAGCGCAAGTATTGGATGTGGTACGTTGGAAAATAGATACATTTGATAGTCTTGCACCATGCTGTTTGGAATTATCTGTTAAATTACAGACATTGATTATGGATACTTATCAAAACAATATTCCTGGTAACTATTATTTTTTCAGTTATAGGCTTAGAAGTAGAAGTAGAAAAAAGAAAAATATATCATAATTCATTGTTTAGTAGATTTTAAATTTTCCTATGAGAGTTCTGGATGTGAAAGGAAACATTTTTGTAGAGTGACCAACTAGGGACGGGCAAGGAGAAAAAATATATCGATATATTGTCATAATTTTCATGTCCCAAACTTTAATATTACTGACAGTTGGACAGCGAAACAAAAAAAACGACAACCACACGAATGCTTTTGTAGCTCCTTTTGTTGTTTCAATGTTTTGTCCATTAATACAACATTACAAAATATATCGTAAATGGTACGAATTTCGATACTTTACAATAAATATCGATATATATCGTCAATATTTTTATAAGAAAATATCGATATTTCGTACACAGTTCATGTACAGTCCAGTAAATGCACACAGTCCACCTGATATTAACTGAATGCTGTGGCCCATAGACATCTACATCTATCATTGATTAAGAAACAAAATGCAGATGCATTGGAACTCCTGAGGACTAAAATGGAAGGCCTTGTTTCCAGTAAAAAGGGTCTAGTTCCCTGCACTTTTTTCGACAGTGGTAGAGCCACGCGGCAGCTTTTGCTGTCGAACTGGGGTGGTACCACGACCTCACAGAAAACCAGCGTGAAGTAGAGGTTTACCTATGCATTTCGCTCGGTGAGTGCAGGTGTCCGGAGGCCCTTTTTACTGGAAATGAGGCATTTTATCTTAGTCCTCACGGATGACAACGCATCTACATTTTGATTTGTAATAGAGGATAGATGTAGATGTCTATGGACCGCAGCAACCACTTACCATCAGGTGGACTGTGTGCTCGTTTGTCAACCTTATCCTATAAAAAAAAACACACCATATGAAACACAGAACACAGCATTAACCTGGTTCTGTGAGAGCGTAGTCCTTCTGTCGAGCAGAAGTATTCATGCTAAAACCATAATAAAGTTGCAGTATGGCTCTACCACTTAAAATACATATCACACAACTGCCATGTAAAAATACATATTTAATAAATACCTAATGCTAGTGCACCGTCCTATACTTTCGGCCATAAAGAAATAAAAATTGCTGATTACAGAAAATGAAAGTTCCTGGTTAAAAAGTAAACTGAAGAAAACTAATCCACTCAACATGTACTACTATAGGATGTTATGGAAACCACCTGGGGACACATACTTTGAAATATTGACTGGAATACATGTGCATGAAGGAATAGACATTAATGATTTCACATTTTATGTGTCACAAGTGAGTAATTATAAATTCTATAAAATTTTAAATTTGGGATATTTAATTATTATAGAAAACTAGCTGGTACCAGGTGCGTTGCTGCTGCAGGATAAAGTAATATGGAAATATCGTTTTGAATTTGGAAAGGTTATATTGTTTATTTATGAATGATAATACATTCATTGAAATTGAATTATACATAGGTAATTTTCAAACAAATTTGTCGCTACTATACACACGCCACCTACTGTAAGTTATTGTACTATGCCTATAACCTTTACACAAGTGCAAGCAATAAGTTGAGAAAGACTTGTGAAATCTGAATGGTTGCACATAAATTAAGAACAAGCAAAAACATTATTTTTTATAATCATGCCGGTGTGGTGTTGGTATAAAAGAATTCCTTACTCTATCTCATCTTATCTGTCTTGTATTTTATAATATCCTTAAATAGGACTGTCTTTCTATATAGTATAAGGGTGATAAACGAGCACACAGTCCACCTGATGGTAAGTGGATGGTGTGGCCTATAGATTATTATTATATAACTGATTATGCACAAACTCAAAGCATGTTGTGAATGATGTGCAAAAAAGAAACGAAATTTTTAGAAAATATTTATTTTTATTTAAATTGTTTTTAATTTTATGATGCGACAATTTTTTTGTTGCATTTTCATTTAAAAAAATCTTAAAAGGCGTCTCCATATTAACACATTCACTGTCCAGTTTTCAGACACAATAGTAAGACAATAGCATAATAGACCTTTATTATGTAGTGCATGGGACAGCGAAAGGGTTAAGATTCTTTTAAATCATCATTTAGAGTAGTCATTAATCCCAATCCTATTTTTATCCTGCTATTTTTTGTTTTCAACCAACTTCAAAAAAGGAGGAAGTTCTTAATTCAACTGTATTGTGTGTGACCTCAGAACTTTTTTCTAGGTGAACCGATTTTGATGATCCTTTTTTTTTTATTTGAAAGCTGGTACTTCTCATTTTTTATCATTCACCACGTGTTCGGCGGAGAAGGAAAACAGCGTGAGGAAACCTGCATGTATGAGAAATAAGAAAAAAAACCGGCCAAGTGCGAGTCGGACTCGCGCTCCGAGGGTTCCGCACAAATCCGTAGTTTAAAATTATTAAAAATATTTTTATTATATGATGTAACTAAAAATTTATGTTTTTCGCAATTTTTCCTTTATCTGTGCTACAATACGTTGCTTCGTACCAAATTTTAAGATTCTGAGTTCACGGGAAGTACCCTGTAGGTTTTGATTCCCTGATTCCCTTGCAAATGTCGATAATTTGCGACATAAACGGCTGTATCTTTTGATTGCGTTGGCTTAGAATTTTGATTTTTTCACAGCTCCAGGGGACAGTAGACTTGAGTATTTCATATGAATTTCAGCTTGATACCTCCACGCGTCCCTGAGAAAAAGGGTCTTGACAGACAGACAGACAGACAGACGGGCAACAAAGTGATCCTATAAGGGTTCCGTTTTTTCTTTTTGAGGTACGGTACCCTAAAAATATTTCAAAAACGTGAAGTTAGCCAACACGCATTGGGGCTGCACGGCGGACATTTCCTTGCCCTAAAACCCTCTCAGAAATGAGAGGAGGCCTGTGCCCAGCAGTGGAACGTAAATAGGCTGCAACTTTACTTCTCATGTGGTCTCATATAAATTTGATCGAGATCTGGCCATCTAACCAGTTTTTGAGTTATCCCTAATAATGTTCTCATTATTTTAAATAATGATGTTCTTATTAACTTCCTTCTGCGTAGCATTGAAAGGAAGTTAATGGTTTAGTCTGTTAGTCTGTATGCCGACACAATAACTTCCGTTCCACTGGACCGATTGACTTTAAATTTGGTATGTGGATACCTTGAAGTAGTAGCTCGGTCGAGTTTGAATTTGGGTCCTGTAGGTCAAAAGGCACCAGAGATATGGGATTCACGCAGAAGGAAGTTGTTTTTCTTGAATTTACATTCAACTCATTTTATTTATATTGAAGTTTGTTGTACAAAATTTTTAATTTTACCACTTGTTAAATGCATTTGTTATCAGTTTAGTTGTTAAATTATTCATTCTTTTTTTTAGGTATTATGCTCTACTGTTTTGAATGAATGGTACCAGTTGTGGGACAGTTTCTCAATTTTTGAAAGCACAACTACACTAGACATTTTCCATGATGCTTTACTTTTAATATCAGCCACAGAGAAGAACAACCGTACAGATAAAACATGGGCATGCTTATTATATGGCTACAGAAATTTTATTAATATATTAAGGGTAAGTGTTAAATCAATATTATGCCACTGTTATATTACGGAACACAGCCGTAGCAGAAGTATGTATTCTATTAGTAAAACCTGTAAAGTTACCGGCTGTGAAACATTCCATCTGAATCCTCAGAGCTCTTCTTGGCTTGAAATTGGCTGAAAGTGTCCATGGACTGCACTAGCCACTTACTATCAAATGGATTGTAAGTTCGTTTGTAATTTCAGTTTTAAGATCTATTTTGATAATTGTGACGATGATTATGGCCCATCACAAGTTCACTGCTGAGTTCACCTCCCCCAAGACCTGCTACAAAGCACGGTCCTGCATCCGTCGACTTCCTGCATCTTTTACTAGGTCATTACTCCATTATTAGAGGAGTGCCCTACACTTCACTTACCGATATGGAGTTGCCACTCGTTTACAGTGGTCTCGAACGTCAATACTATATGGTAGAGCTGCCCACAAATATCGATAGATTTGTAGACAAAATCACTATGTGGATAAAATATGTTTTATTCTTAAATAACAAAGTGTGCTTGTGAAAAATTCTGTTTCTTATGCGTCTTTCCCTGATATAATACTAATAACATTACAACTCGTTTAATATACATTATACACGCCTTTACGACTTTCAAGCAGTCAGTCAGCAAATTCTTCTTCCCATTCTTTTTCAGCTCAGCTGGGATAGTCAATACCAGTGGTTTTGTTAGTTCTGGATACATTGTCTTCATCATATTTTTCATAAACCTAAATATTATTTTGGTTTCCAGTTGTTTACAATGATAATTGCTTGCCAGAACTTATAACAATTTTATAAACAAATTCTTCTAATCGAAATATTAAACAAATTATAAAAAACGTATTTTACAAAATTATACTGTGTGACGACAAAGTTAAGATACACTTCCTTGACCTAACACTGTTGACATATAGCAATATATGTCAACAGTGCTGATCATGACAAATTCTGCTTACCACATAATTATATATTGAAACTGAATCGAACTGGGGTTTGCTTGAGTACTGTACCCAGCTGTGGGATGTATAATAATGGTACTAATGTTTTATTGTACAAGTATCCGCCCGTAGCACATAGCACGGGCACGTAGTCTACATATAGGTAGATGAATGATGTATACATAGACACCCACATCTCCACCTTAAGAATCAAAATACAGATCCATTGTCAGCCACGAGGACTAAGATGGAATGCCTCAATACCAGTAAAATAGGACCTTCGGGTCTCGTCACTCACCATGTGAAACAGAGCATATTATGCTACATGCTACTGGTATGGTGCTGATATTCTGTGAATGAATGGTTTAATATTCAGCTGCAGCCAGGCTCTACCACATCAGTAACTTACTTTAACATCAGACTAGATTTCCTTATATTCTCTTTACAATAAATCCATGTGATCTTTCAGTACAAATATATATTGGAACCTATAACAGACCACCAAGTGCCAATAGTGATTAATAAAATAGCAAATATAGTAAATTTATTGGAAGAAGGCCAAATAGAAGAATTTCAATCAGTTGTTTTACCCCTGCTGGCTTACATTGCTGAAAGAAGAAATGATTACACAGTTAATGTACTAACATGTGTAAGGGATAAGATAAAAAATGAACTGTTTGCAGGATTAATAAATAAACTTTTTACCAATGATACAGTGTAAATTTTACTTCCAAGACTTATTGCCAATTTAATAATTATGTTAAAAATAACGAAAATACTCAAATTAAACCGATCCGAAGCTGTCCTGTTGAGTTAAACATTAAAACATGTTTTCTTTTTAAATAGACTTTTATTTTAATACGGGTATATATGTATGCGAAATATTAATTTAGGGGATTTAATAAACCTTAAACAATTTTACAATTTTGAACTGACCAAAGAAAATTATCCCTAAAGGAAATTTTTCTGTTTCTAGAGCATGTTAATTGTATTGACCGATGCAAGGTTATATGTGCTTACAGTTTACATATACCTATCTACTAAATTTGTTATGTTCCATCCATTTAGATAAATATATAAGTCTTGAAAATATTAAAGTTCACAAGCAGAAACATCAAAAATACATACAACTGGAAATAATAAATTGTGTATAGAATGAGGGCTAATAATTTTCTGCTCACCAGGTGTCGCTAGTTGACACTGAGGTAAAGTTTTTTGTTACACAATGTGAATTTAGAAGTTAGTTTTTAATCTTTAATAATTTTAAAAGTTTATCAGTTTATTATAGAGAGTATTATAGAGTATTATATTAATACACATAACAATGCCTCCGTGGTTTGCTCTTTAATTTTTCACGCATCTTCAACTTTTTTTTTAATTTTTCTACTTTTATGAATACCTGTAGTTTGCTTTAGTTATTTTTTAATCTTATTAAAATAAATAAAACAATTGAGGTCCATAAGATCAGCACTCCTGTATCACAGCCATAAAACAGCGGCATTTACTGGTAGTTTCAGATGGCAACGAAGTATTGGAATAACATCCCACCACCAATAAGAAATCTTAACACCAATTACAATTTTAAAAATTAAACATATCTTCTAGATAAACAAAAACAAGGTATTCCCAAACACTTTGTTTGCCAGCTATAAACCACGGTATTTTTTGTTCCTACTAACTCATCATGGCTGTCTAAGCCTTTTGGGTACTACTTTTAATTTGTACGCAATCTTACACACTTACACGCCCCTTCAGTAATTTTACTAAATTAAACCCAAGATGCGAGGCGTAGGACTGAAAGGACACATCATTCAAATATACATATTTACACTGATTAACTACTGTGCTCATTTTGTTCTCGTCATCTCGAGGGTAATGGCTTAAAATCAGTGTTTGCTCTCTGAGCAATATTAATCGCTGAGCTAGGACCCATTTGTCAAACTGCAACACACATTTAGATTTTAAGTTTTTGTGAATTATTTTTTTCGTAATATGTTACCTTGTATTTACTTTAGTCATTGAATTTACGTGTGTGATTGGAGAAACAAATAAATGCTTTATCTATCTATCTAAAATGTAGGTAATAGTACAGAAAGAAACATTAACTTTTACATTTTCCGAATAAATTAGCTTCCCGCTATGAAATCACTATCAATATTATACCTCACTTTTAAGTGGCGCCGCCCTGGTGGCAGAAAGAGTCGTGGATTGTGGAGTCGTGGTGGCAGAAGGAGTAATTGGTATAGGAGAATAAAATTCTTAGCAGAAACAAAAACAAGGAAAAATAATTGGATCCATTTATTGACCATTTTTTGTGTTTACAGTGTTCATTTTTCGTTTAAAACTAAGCGATGCCGATTACTTAAATCGGGGCTAAAATAATGTCTTAATGAATTTAGAATGATTCATTGAAATTTAAAGGCAAAACAAACCGTGCAATATGTCTAAATGCTACTCTTGGATACTAGTTTAAAAATGCAAAATATATAATTATATTATATTGTCATCATATATACCTACTTATGTAAGTGAAAAAATATGACCCTTTATATCTGGTAAGGTGCATTCGGCTAACTCCGAAAATTAGGGTATTCAAATAATTACATATTTCGAGAAATTTTTGCGCTATCTTAGCCCGCTTCCGCTACCGCGCTTCAGTTGGCACTTCTTGTGCTATGAGCGAGCTTTGTTGTTTATTACGATATTTTAGTTAACGAGTAATATTTTGCGCATTCTTAAGATTGTCGGATTTACCCGAAGATCTATAATTAAAAATATCTCGTAGATTATTTTAATTGGTTGTTTTTAATTTGGTAGATTTTAGTTTTAGTGCACTGTTGAGTAGGCTCAGGACATCGTAGCTGAAGCACAGAATAAATAAGTACATAAGTTGCACTCTTTTGATGTTAACTGCTTGCCGACGTTTTAATAGCCTACATAGTTATTACTAGCTTTTTACCCGCGGCTTCGCTCGCATGCGCTTGAATTTAGGAACATCATTAAATGCTGTTCCGTGCCAAATTTAGAAAAATTCGATCATTTTTAGAGTCACCTCGGTGTCTATGTCTCTATATGTCTATATCAAAGATTTTTTTTCATTGTAAAATACTATTAGACGTAGATGATTTGTAACATGCTACAGAAACACGTGAATATATATGTCTAGAAACAGCTTCTATTTTTTATATAGGGCGTGTCTTCCGATTCCGATGTATACATAACAAAGGTAAATAGTCTTGAAATCAAAACGTATTATTATTATTTACATTTTACTCTTTACATTTGTTCATAGCTAAAGTTAATTTAATTTTAACAAAGTAATATAATGTTTATTTGAAACATTTTATACATATCATTGGTCCTATTTAATATCAATTGGCACCATGAAGATAATTTTTTTTTACTTCGAGTAGAATTGAAAATTTCTTAAATACAGTTCTATAATAATGAATGCTACACATGGATTAAAACTAATGTTACGGGCAATACGGGTTTTATACGCATCTTGGATGAAAGTTCCGAGTAAAAGAACATATCGTTGATTTGAAGCACCAAAACTCCGGAAAGCCTAAAGTATGTCAACATGTTTAGTATCGTCCCAACTTTCTACTTTCCGTGGTTGTTAAGGGCTGTTAATAAACAGTAAAAAAATACATTGTGAAATGGTAAGTTACTTAGGTAAAGTACCTATGCTGACTATAATCGACCATATTATCTACTATGTGAATTCTGTGATGCCCAACGCATGCAACTTGTAAGGCCATTCATCGGGAATCGCGATTCTTGGTTCGTATAGGTACATAGCGTAACAACAAATAAACCAGAAATAGGTACGATTCCTAACAGAAATATTATCGTAGTTGAAAATCTTGTAAACAAAGTTTTAATTTCAGTATTTTGTGCTATTATTCTAAAAATATTTTAACTACAAAAACGAGTATAGATATGTAAGTAGTTGGTAATTGGGTAGTGAACTAAATTATCTAACAATAAATGAAATAAATTTACCTTACATTATCCTTCGATAACTCAAAAAATCCATCCCCGCAACAATTATAGTCGGAACGACGTTTTGCCATTATAATTTATCAAATAGATAGGTAATATTATACATATAAGTATATATTATTTTTAGATTACATTAAAACTTTTTCAACTATTTTATCCTACAATTAAATATACTAAACACTAAAGAAATACTAATTCGACGAGTATTTCAACAACTATTTACAAAAAATTATTTATGTAAACATCGTTAATATTAGCGCGCTAGCCCCGACTGCGATCTACCCCTGGGGCAGCTCGCGATTGTAGGTAATTATTTCACGCAGGTAGCAAGAGTGACAGAGGCCTGGCTGAAGGTTTATTTTTTGTTATTTTCGTAATAAATCGACACAGGTAATTCTAAATTATGAACCATGCGGAATTGCCCTGCTAATGACTTTACAAAGAGATGATCAGTGGTTCCCAATTCATTTTAAATAGATTTTTTTTTCTTTCAGTTACATCTTTTTAATGTAACTTCAATGTAACGCATTTAAGATTGCTGAAAAAATACATATTCTTGATCAAGATATTAATGCAAATAATGTGATTTCTTTGAATAGTTTATCAAAAACAGATGAGCAAACTAAGTATGCCTTTTGTAGCAAAATCAACATTATTGATGTTGCCAAAATGCCTGCAAAGTAATTATTTTAAGATTAAAGAAAAAGGAAACCTGAAATAACTAATAACTTAAGATACATATAACAGTTTGAAGAACTTTTGCTTGAAAAAATACACCAGGATAATAAAATCATTACTTCTAAACATATAGCAAAAGGTGCGGAAGTCATTACTGCATCCATTATTAATAAAAAAAAGCAATGACAGAAACAGTTGAATGAATGTTTATTAAAAATGTGTTATGTAAACTTCATAATTGAATCTACAGGCACATTTTTGACCGAGTCTTAATATAAAAATTAAAAATTATGATATTTTACTTTAAATATAAAAAATATCCTATTTTCATTCGTTTTTCAGCCTAAAACTTAAGTATAAATATCTTACTTATTATTTTATTACGCTTAAGTGAATATATCTCTTACTTTTGTATGTTTTATGGGCTTAGCTTTCCATTTACTCCCATCGAGTTGGGGATTGATCCGTATTTTTACATAAAACTTACACTATTATAAGCACACACATAAAGTTTCAATATGCGGAAACACGTACTTTTTGAGAAAAAACATTATTTGAAAATTAATTATTTTTGCAATGTTTATGTTACATTCCTAGCGTAAAACTGGCGCCATTTTGTAATGTCATTGTCGTCGTCAGTACGGATGTCGATTCTTTCCGAAAAAGATAGATTTTTAAATCGATTCTAATAGTAAGCTGTCGTGATATCACAAAAAATGGATTTCTAAAAAAAATAGGTTAGGTTCTACTTATGTCAAAGAACCAAATTTATTGACCCCGACTCCACGTGGTACGAGTCTGTCCTACCCCTAGAGTGGTTATATAGAACCGGGGGCGCGTAGGGGGAGTAGCCTCCGCCGGCTGTAACAAATCGTAGGCATCGGACGAGCTGGAGCGGCTGAGGCTGGTCGCCGAAGGCGACCAACAAGACGAAGCTGCGGAGGCGAGGAGGGATGCCTGCGATTTGTTACGCAAAGGCGTAGAGGCTGCTCTTCCCGCATCGCCGGAGACGTTGCAGTCTCAAAATATATACAGAAATCCCTCTGAATTAGTCCCCCTACACCTCTTCTCCCCCCCCCCCCTCTCCCCTCAATTCGACGAATGTCAATGGAAATTCGTAATAAAGTAGGCTCAAAAAGGCTAGAACCCAGAGCCGTAAAGCCAGTTAAAAAAAACAGCAAAATATTGTTAATATAAGTGATTTTTATTAATTTATTTCTCAAAAAATACGTGTTTCCGCATATTGAAACTTTGTGTGTGTGCTTATAAAAATGTAACCTTTCTGTAAAAATACGTATCAACACCAAACTCGCTGGGAGTAAATGGAAAGTCGTACCGTTTTATGTTGAATCTTAATGATTCCATTACATGCTTCATTTTGATTAAATTTTATTACTTTTACTTTTATTTCAAACACTTTTATACTTGTACAAATGGTGTACCTACTTAGTAAAATTATGACTACCATAGACAGCTTGTAGGGTAATTCCGAAATACAAATATAACAAATACATATTATTTGGCTGTTAAGAGTTTAAAATCAGGAAATATTTCTTTTTGAAGGTACATCTGAACGAAAAAGTGGTATGGTCCATATACACAAACCACGAGTAAATAAAATCAAAATTACCCGAACACACTTCGGAATTGCACTTGTACAAAGTAAAAATAATCAGTGTTTTAAATACTTGTATCTATAAATACCGTGGATATTTATGTCTTTGAAATAGAGTTTTAGACTGTATATTCAAGTTAATAAAGTGACGCAAATTAATAGCATTAGCCTCAACAATTCTAGAGTCGAATGAAAATATAAATATCCCGCCAACTCTTCAAAAATCGTTTCGAAATTACCCGAATCCACCTTACTTAATAATTATTATCAATTTAAGTTCTTATGTATGTATGGTTTACTTTTCAATTTGTTATTGGTGCTGATCAAGTTTCTGAATCAATATGTTAGTTTTCTCTGGCGAGAACGCGAATTATTTTTACCATAATTTCCACAATAGTTTCCCAACTGTTGACACATCTGACAAAGTTCTTTTTTATGTTCTTGTTTGCCTTTCGAATCTGTGATATCAGAAGCTCGTAACTCTCTCTGAAGGAAAATAAATAACATTATTGAGTAGGTATATGTGATAAATCTATACAAATAAATAAAATTGAAGTGTTTGTTTGTAATGTCAAAATAACAGTTTTTTACTAAATGCATACGACAGTAAATACGGTGCGCATAAAAAATTTAAATATGTCTGTCTGTCTGTTCCGGCTCTCCGAAACGGCTGGACCGATTTTGACGTGACTTTCACTGGCATATAGCTGATGTTATAAGGAGTAACTTAGGCTACTTTAATTTTAGAAAAAGAATTAGGGTTCCGCGCAAAAAAAATTAAAACCCTAGAAATCTAATCGTAGTAAATTTACGCGGACGAAGTCGCGGGGAACAGTTAGTAATATAATATTATTCATTAATCAGTCTAAGTAGTTCAATTGGTTGATTGTTTCAATTTAAAGCATTACTAAAGCGAACTGCTCGCTGAAAATTTCACATTACGCGAGTAACCCGAATTCGCACCAATGAAATTGTTGACTGCAATTTTAAGTGCAGATTTACCACGTGAATGGCGGCAAGAGAAATTATAGTGAGGCAATCAACATATCCACGAAATTAAAAAAAAATTGTAAGGACATGTGAACTCTGCCAACACTCATTGGGCGTGGCCCTAGCGCAGTGAAGAGGAGGCCTGTGCCCGTGAGTTGGACGTACCTACGTACACAGTCTGTAACTTTTTTTACTTTTTACCTAACAATTTAAATAAGGTATAATACTACTATTGTAGTTAAATAAAGCTGAAAAATAATTGTGTCTCATATCATTGATTAGTTACAAAACAATAAAGTTTAATACTGTTATGACCTGTAAATTACTGTTTTAATTTGCATATCCCACGTCGGATACTTCTTAAAATTTCCAGCCCGATTTAACACTATTATCTGCATAACAAACGAGAGAGGGAGAAAGGGTAAAAAGAAGACGGTGGATTTATTTTAGATTGTGTGTTAGAAAGTGCTTAAAAAAGATTCCTCAAAGTTGAACAAGAAAACATTTTAAAGTGGTTATGCCCATCACTTAGATTACATGTTTGAAGAAACATCCACAACAGATTATGTACTGCGGCTTTATGCAATGATTTTTAATATAAATTCATATTGTTGATATTTACGTCTTATGCAAAGAAATATTTGTGTAGATGTTATGAGTTATTTATAGTTCGAAACAATCTATAAATAGAGATATTGAAATAAAAGGACTAGTTCTAAACAATGCGTTTAAGTGTCATTAACTTAAGTTGTGATATTAGTGTAATGGCACATCGTTATCAACTTTTCATACATAGAACATTTCACTAGAGAACACAAGCCTTTATCAAGTTAAAATGTTTTACTTTTGCCCTAAACAGTCATATTGTCGAGAGGCTTCTGTTTATTTATTTATATTTTTGACATGCTTTGGTCAACTTTTACGACATCTATAAGTTATGGTGAATGTAGATGGTAGGTGTCATCCTCCACTATACTGCAAATATACGGTTTAGCGTGTAATGCTAAATAAAGATTACAAGGAAATACAAGACAAAAAATATGAAATAATGAAAATATGTAAGAAACCATATAAACGATACCTGATTGTATGGATACACATGTCTCTTGCAGCGGCTGCAAATTTGGTAGCGATTAGGCCAACAAAGCCTGCTACTCCAAGTGCGACCACAAGCAGAGCATTTAAATTCTCCGAATAATGGCCGTGGTTTGTTCAAGCCTGTTGGTCTAGACTGAAATTAAGTTATCAAAAATAGTAATGTAATAACGAGTAAAATTAAATACTTTAATCCCACATTATACTATTCTTTGGTTTAAGATGTTAATTCATTTTTCAGCATTTTTAATCCACTGCTGGCATCAAACAGGCGCGCATACCGTTGAAAAATTTACCCTCATCGCGCTGGATGGGCACGGCTTATTCAACACTGAGCCGATAATCTAGCATTAGTTAGTCCTGAAATCCAATTTTTGGACTTTCATCTCTGCATTTTAAATGGCATCGCAATTTCTCTGTCCAACAGTAAGATCGGTGACGTAACACAGGTGCACTACGTACACTTCAACCTATATAAAAACCTTTAAATATACTGGCTATATTTAAAAAAAAATGTAAGTATATCTCTTTAAATAAAAATCAATTGCTGTCCGTTAGTGTCGGTAAAACTCGAAAACGGCTAGACCGAACCACTTTTTTAGCGAAGGAAGTTCTTAATTGTCCTTAAAAGATAATAGTATAATGGTGCTTAGTCATTTTATTTTATTTAGGATAACCAACAAGACACACCTACATTATAATAAACTAACTTTCACAACTATTTCTTTGGACATGGGAGTTATATCGATGTTGAATTCTGTTCAAGGTTAATTGATAGCCTTGATTGTTCTTGGTCGAGTTAGCTATTAAACGTGTATATTTTGATGGTCTTTGTGTTTATTTAATCTTATTTTCCATACTTAATAATTCTGCGCAATCAATTTCTCTATTGATAAGTTTGAACATAAAAACAAGATCGAGTAAGTCACTGCGTTTTTTCAGAATATTTAATTTTAAATGTTTTAGTCGGCTTTAAAGGATGGTAGGCAGTTAAGGGGCTACTCCATGCGAACGACCTTGAGCATTTGACCGGCGCGCCGTTCGCTACAATATTAATACGAGTATATTGTAGCGAGCGGCTCGCCGGAAGAAATATGTAAGACGCCACCTATTGTACGAAAGTAGTATTATTTTTTCAACATCAATAAACTGTTTTATGGAAATACACATAGCGTACAAAGATAAATGTATTTTAATTTAAATAAAACTAATTTTACGGATTTTATCGCGTATATTAACTTATTTTACTTTCCCGACGTTTCAAGCACTTTACAGCACCCATGGTCACGGGGGGGACCATGGGTGCTGTAAAGTGCTTGAAACGTCGGGAAAGTAAAATAAGTTAATATACGCGATAAAATCCGTAAAATTAGTTTTATTTAAATGTGTAGTGTTCGCGTAAATATAAGAAATCATTGTATTTTAATTTTTTTATTCTGTATATATTAGTTGCATTATATTAGAATTATGTATTTTCATATATTATCTAATTATGAAATTTTATAATTAATTATATAAACGGAAGCATTGAAAATTGTGAGTTTAAAAGATACCTATTCACTATAGGTAAATAAATAGATAACTCGGCTTTTGTACAAATATTTGGTGCAATAAAAAATATATAAATACAAAAATCAACAAGAAGTATAAGGGTTCAATCTTTCAATTTCAGTTGTAAAAAAACATTACACCCACACTAGGATTTTCTCCTGTGTCGTGGAGGCAGTTTACAAACATAAATTGCACAAAGACAAACATCCAGACCCGGAACAATTATTTGTAGGCCATACAAATCTTGTTCCATGCGGGATTCGAACCCGCGGCCCCCAGCGCAACAACTGATTGCTAAGCCACTGCGCCACCATGAAGCTAATACAAAGACTAACTTTGTATTTGCTTCATGGTCGCCGGGTTATAGCTAAAGTGACCATACGTCCCGTTTTGAACGGGACTGTCCCTTTTCTCGGTCTCCTGTCCCATTGTCCCCAAACAAAGCACCGGGACACAAAATTGTCCCGTAACTCGTTGGATGGAAGTATTCAAAGTCAACAATCTTCAACATAATTTTTTTTAATCGAATATATTTTATGTCTACCTGGTACGAATGCTCCGGTAGAAAGAGTATTTTTTTATTTTGCATAAATTGTGGACGTCTGAAAGAAACACTTACGGTTCCAGAGTTCTAAAGGCGATGTTGTTAACAAAGATAACAATAAAAAACTTGAGCAGAATTTTATTCTTATTTAAAATCATCACCAACTTTATTAAAGCAAATTTAATCCACTGACAAATGTAATTAATAATTAAAAAAAATATGTTGCATTTAATAATTACCGTCTATACCGAATATAATTTTATAGTGAACACTAATTGTATAAAGTTATAGTTTTTAGAGTATAAATAAACCCATGTCCTGTTATGAGTTAAAAAATAAATGGTCAGCTTAGTCTTTTTAGTTAAATTTAGTTTTAAAATTTTTTAGTTTATAGTAAAAAGTAGGTATATTAGTACTTTTTACCGAGATATAAGTATAGAACACCTTATGTACTCAATTATTTTTTGAAAAAGAAGAAAAAACAAGCAATAAATAATATACTATATTTTAGCAAAAAAACTATAACTTAGTAATACTAATTATAACTTAGAACATAAATGAAAAACTCATAACTGACTTTTTGGCCCAACCCAGGATTCGAACCCGGGACCTCATGATCAGCAGTCGCACTACTACAACCACTAGACCAACGAGGCAGTAGTATACCTGATAAGATATTGTGGTTGGGTGATAATATTGAATTAGCCTTTTATAGTGTAAATTATAATATTTGTCGAAATTTTAATTATGGATTCGAACCTTACATGCTAATGGTGCTTCATTTTTTTATTTGCATTTACTTCAAAGAAAATACACGCAAAAATCTTCATCGCGCAGTAAAAAACACAACAAATATATGTATAACTAATACGAAAAATTATACCCAAAACAAACAAATAATACTACCTATAAATAACCTAATAAGTAATAATATTATCGACTCATATGACGTGGCGTATGCGTCGGTCGACGCTCTAACGACACGGGCTTCCCGTCGAAGAGCTCAGCGCTCACTGATTTCATCAAGCCCGTGAGCAGTATATACGCCCAGATTTTAAAATAATTTCTTAATAAAATCAAATTTTGGTCTTTTGAAAAAAATTTTACTATAGAAATGTTCATTAATAAATTGCCTATCCATTGGTGTAAATCGCAAAACAAAATAATACTTACTTTACGAGGAGATGCATGTTATCAATAATAATTTCACATTTATGTGGTTTCGTTGTAAGGAGATTATATTAATATGTATTCCTTTAAAAAAAAATTGGATATAGCTTTTATGGAATCAAGATTATGTAGAAATATAATGTGTTTTTTATTTGTTGATATATCTTTTAAATAAAAAGTAGATAGCTCCTAAAAATCGCCCAAATAACGACTAGAGCGACATTTTGCTCAACCTGCGCCTTAAGTAAATTGCACTGGTAACTGAGTATTGGATGACTCCACACTGGACTACCACTGGACTACGACTGCATTACCATGCATTTTAAATTTAAAAGATAAAAAGGACAGAATGTTAGAGATTTTTTTTATTCATTTTTATTCACCATTTGCTTATATTACTTATTCTGAACTTTTTGCAAACTTAGCTTGAACTTGTAAAATAACCCTATATAGTGTAATCAGCCGACGTAAAATATTGCCGCAGCTTTGTAAATACACCTTCAAAGAAAACTTCCTTGCAGCTGCTTTGGGCCTGGACTCAATGAACCTCAACTCCCAATACTGAAGGAGTTTGGTGAATACCAATAATACATTTCGGAAAGAAGCAGCCAGGGTGAGCTGACTCGTCCTTTTCACTAGAAAGTCCCCTGTCGACCGATTATGAATCCCTTTTTTGCGGGGATGGGTAACGTTATGCAACGTTTAGATAATCGCCCAGCACAGACAGAGTAGGCACGAGTACGAGCATGTAAACGCCTTGTTCGGGTGTTCTCTCTGCTCGGCCCGAGTATTCGTCTGTTCTCCACTCGATGTCGGTTTTTTGGCAGCACGAGTAAAAGGAATGCTCGGGAATAACTCAGCGAGTTCCTCGACGAGTTGCTTGTGCCGATAACCTAAACGTGTCATTAGACTCGTAACGTCTAAACCCCAAACAGATATTTCATGCGCGGTAACTCAACCGTGCACATTTTTAATGTGGTAGAGCCAAAGACGTTAGTTAACGTGTAGATGCAGAGTATTAAGATTGCAACACGAAATTATGAATATACACGAAATAATAGAGAAGTATAATGCTGCTGTGTTTCGTATGACGGGTGACGAAAACTAGAAACACTTTTTATTGGTAACGCGACATTCCATGTTAGTCTTCAGGGGTGACAAATCATCTGTATTTTAATATTAATCGAGAAAGATATATGAGTCCATGCACCATCGCATCCACTTACAATCGGGTGGGTTGTGTGCTCATCTGTCACTATTACGCTGGGCGCTGGTGGCGACACCAGCGCCCTTCTCCCTCGACAGGAGAGGGCAACCCCTTCAGCTCTTTCTTCTCAAGCCAAGACACGCTTACCACGTTTAGACAACGGTGTGTAGGGAGAGCGGCGGTTCGCTATACCATATACTATTTATATATAGGTACCATCACTCCTATTCCCCGTAACCCATTCTCGGCTGCAACGAACAAAGGGAGAGAACATCACTGAACATCCCTTCCATCGTAGTCTACCAACCGCAATTGCATCAACACGAATTCAAAAAAGCACTGGCCAAACCCATTCCGAACGGCTGCCTTATGCCTTCCCTTCACCTTGGATCAGCAATGTAGGTTCCTCTTCGTTCGCCGTGAATAACTTAGTTACGGCTACTAAAAATCGATCGTGGTGCTCCCCTCCCCCCACCGCCACGATAAGACGTGGGGGCTGTGCAGTGAAGAGGAAATGTCGTGGCCCTTTAAGAATGAAGGTGGCAACGAAAAAGTGGAGGGGCACTGATTAGTACCTACTTCGAGCAAGGACAAAAAAATGTTTTTTATTCCTCTGTTGCCCTTTCATAAATTCAGCCCTGGATCACCACAATCGATGAGTTCTACGTGTCGTGTCTACAAATAAAATCCATCAATGGATTAAAAAGTGGTGACTGTACGTGTATGTGTGTAACCCCCCCTCCCCCCCCGTCTCAATAAATTTGTTGTTATCTCAATGATGTACCTGGATGAGGTTTAGTGGGCTTACCTGGGCTCTTACGTAAGTTTCACTGTAGGAATAGACCTGATGTGTGGATGATAGTCTAGCATTGGCGAGTCTGTTGTGCACATTACCTTCAGGGGGCTGTAAGTTAAGTTTTTAAATTACACATTTTATTATTCCACATAAATTCAAGGTAAATACCACTTGACTAAAGTTAGAATGAAACTAGAATATTTTTTTAAATAAATAATACAATATTTTTATCGCCTTAGGTAGTAAAAAAACCGTTTCACATTTCTATATATGTAAGTACTTATATAAAATATACCTCACTAATTTAAAGAACGATAATAACATTTATGATTCTAAAATAATTAAAAATTGTTTTATCTACATTTGTTTATAGAAATATACTACCAGAGAGCATTTTGCTTTAAAATTATAACTAATAAATAAACGATAATAACATTTCTGATTCCAAAATAATAAAAAACTGTTTTAGGTATGTACCTACACTTCATTCATAGAAATATACTACCAGATAGCATTTTGCTTTAAAATTATAACTAGTTTAAAGAATGATATAATGTATGATTGTAAAATACAAACCTCTGATGACCAAAAACAGCCCATATTTTATCGGTAATTTTACAGCCGTTCACAATTATCTTTTGCAATGTGCACAAATTCTGTTCGTAATTTTATGGATTTTTTCAACAATAAATACCAATAAACACGGTATTTTGACACAACAATAATGACAAAGATAAAGATTCACATAAACGCTAGTAAATAATTCAATTCAACGTTTTCTGACGCGTTTCTTCACTCACTGCGGACGACTTAAAATTAAAACCGTAATGTACAACTTGGACTCGGTTGAGCTGTGTGCACTTCACTAAAGGAGTATAATAAGTTGATTTGTCTGTTATAGTATACAGTTATCTGTGATTTGACTTCATTGCAATGCGAGTCCTTTCCTCCCCCTCCTCCTTTCCCCGATATCAACCCCGCGTACATAATATCCAGTTGCGAGTTGCGACTGTACGGTTTGCATCTTTGTTACCGCAAATTAAAAGTTGTATGTTTGTTATGGATACGCACCAAAGATACATATTACGCACGTGTTCATTTTCTTTATTAGTTTAGTTTTTGGATTATTTTTGTTAATTTTTCTGTTTAATTGTTATAGTTATGTTTAGACGTTATTTTATAATTGTTACGTGTTCAAACTATTCCTGTTAAGTTTTTTATTATAGACTTTATGTTGTTGGACAGTTATCGTTCACTTTTTTTAAATGTTTTTTTGTAAAAATATGTTGCACTCCATTGAAAGGAAAGGAAAAGTTATTCATAGTTAAGGAAGGAACATCATATTAAAGATTTCTTCTGTTTTTTTTTTAGCAAGAAAAGACACAAACGTTTGAGCTATCCCCTGGATCAAGTTTTCAACCGGACTTGTGCTGCAAAGAAAAAAAGTACTTACGCCTACTGTCATTTCTATCATTATTTCGTATCATTTATACAGTTGCACAGTTTCAGTATAGACTTATTACAAACATTATTATGTTTAAGGTACCTGAATATTTCTCATTTTGATCTCTTTTGTATACCATACCCGAGTGACGTCATCCGCACAGAGTGCAAACTTAGCTCAATCGAGTTGTAAAACGTAGATAGGTACTGTTAGTTTGAAATATCAGTCCATTAGGTACACTTACTATATACTCTAAGCAGTATCTTAAAGTCAAAGACGATGCGAGTCAGCTTGCGCTAGTACTAATAATGTCTTTTTAAATTTTATCTTACAGAAGTAACAACCTACTTACGTAATTGACTTTGCTTATAACATTATTTTATCCAATCCTCATTCCGATGAAACAAAATTATTGGCTAAATTATATAACATAATATTTTCCTCAGATACGTCAATCAGATTTTTTTTCATTTTTGTTTGCTTGTTAAATTGAATGTTATTTAGTTCTAAATGATGTCAAATAGAGCGACATAATCGCATTTTGATTAAGGTCTTAAATAAAGGTTTAAAAAAAACTTAGGTAATGGTCTTACAACAGTCCTAACACTGGATTTAAGATATTCTCACACCTAAAACGGGTTTTGTAGCAGAGTTCGCTACACTAGGTACCTCAATGCATTTTGGCAAACTTCATAATATTATTTCAACAAATATTTAAGTTTCGCCTTACTTGGTAGTGACCTTGTAAGAATATCCACTACCCCTGAGAATGACGTAATAGGCGACAGAAGGAAACAAACCAGGAGAAGGGCGGCATCGTCTGCATGATCTAAAGGCATCTATGACAAATATGCCCTCTTTATGGCAATCTATAAAGGGGCCTATGTCCAGTAGTAGAATTTTATAGGCTGAATTAATGAATAACTGACTAGAATAGAATAGAATAGAATATTTTTTATTCAATATACATTACATGTGTAATTCTTATTGAAAGTCATTTTTTACTTTACCACTATCACTACATGTACATCCGATGCAAAATAAAGTAATTTTCTTAAAAAATAGAGTCATCGGTCAAAAACCGGTTTCAGTGAGACTAAAGAGGAGATAAAACGAAAAAGTAATAATATAGCAAATCCTCAAACAAAAGAAATATTAAAACAAAGACAATACTAATTACACTTACTTTTACTGCATCGCAGTGGTAATCGGGTTCCTTGATTGTTTACGACATAACTTGCCAATGAAAAGAAACAATATCACGCTGTTCTGGGCCTGCGCTGGAGCTGGTACTCCACAGGGCTGCGTGCTATCGCCAACCATGTTTTTTCAACATATGAGTTTCATGTTGCAAACTATGTAGTAACATTCATAGTTATACAGACGAAAGCACAGGCGATGCTTTATACGTCGCCCAATAGTGCCAATTGTTCCCAAAGAAATATTCGTTAGGCAGGCCTATATCGGAAGTGTACTGCTGAACATAGGCATCCCCCATAGACTTTTTCATAGAAAGGATATTTGCCATAATCCCCACGTTTGACAAGCGGTTCAGTAATCTCATTTTTTTATTATTTTGAGCCGTCATCGGGAAAATACTGCTGCACATATCCACAAAAATTATTTAATTCTAATAAAACAATAAAATCTGGTATGCATTAATACTATGCAAAACGGATACTCAACTGAACCACGATTAATCGTTGGCACAAGTAAAAAAAAATTGTACTTGCGCAAGCTACTACGCATCTTATGTAAATGCATTACAACAACATTATGAAAATCTTTGGTAGTCCCCGCTAATTTATCATCTATGTTGCCCTTTAAAAAATAATAATGTTGTGTGTGTGTGTGTGTGTGTTTTTATATGATTAGGGTGACGAGCACACAATCCATCTGATAGTAAGTGGTTGCTGTGACATCTACATCTATCCTCTATCCTGAAATACCTCGTTTCCAGTAGTACGGGTCTCCGGTTCTCTACACTCACCATACGAAACAGCAGCATTGAGCTGCTATTTTACGCTGGTAAGTTAAGTTAGCTCTTTATTTTATAACACAAATCTGTGGCCCTAATATTCAATTAATATAATTATTTTATAATAAACATAATTATTTTACATGATAAAGTATATTAAATAAGTAGGTACCTAATCAATTAATCAAAATTCCGAATTTCCGATTCTTCATCCGTAGGTGTTAGTAACAATTAAAACTTATTCTAGTGTTAGTAATAGTAATGATGTAGGTAGATAATTAATTTAATCATGCGACTGGTCGAGAGCCCGACACATGCAGACAAATTCAGTGCCCTAGCAGTGGAGAACACCACCTATTTGGCAATGCACCCAGAAAGTCTTTTACCAGCTCTAAGCTGTTACCAAGAAGATGCTGCTGTCCATCTCCTGTTTCGATTTCCTTATGCCAGATCTTACGAAACTTTCGGAATGATATGGGATAGTATAATTCCCTTACGGCGCTTCGATTAGATTTAATTACATAGATCTATGTAACCTCACACATGCAAGTCAATAACGTTACGCAAAGATTTATCTTCAAGAAAATATTTTATTAGCTCCAAGAGTCCTGGAACAACTCTATTTTATTATTAGAAGTATACGAACCTACAACAAAGCGTACTAAATATATACCTACCTAGCTGCAATTACCTAATTTTAGTTTATAGATAGGTACTGAGAGGTTACTAATTAATTAATATTTATTTGGATGGCAACATTAATTAAGTAGGTAGACGGTCGACTTATCATGCGCGTACTATACAAACAATTGCATTTATTTATTACTAGCGAGCCGTCTCGGCTTCGCAGGAGCGATTTCTGATCTCAACAACAGCTCCACCTACCGGATCAAAAGGCGAATCTAAGCCATTCTGGTACCCACTCAAACACAAACAAAAATTTCATCGGAATCGCTCAAGTTTCGAGTTTTAGCCAGACTAACGGTCAGAAATTTATTTTTATATATAGAGTACAAAATTCTTCGATATTGACAGTACTTATTTACCAAGCATTTATCTTTTTTATATTGGTTAAGTTGGTGTTATGGTTGAGGCATTTAAAGGCCCTTATAATTATTGTCAATGCGAGCTGCTTCTCGCCAGTAACGCAAAGTCAGGATTTTGCATTTAGAAAAACCCAAAATTAGGGGCTTTAATGAAGTTATTAGATATACGATAAATATTGATAACAAGGAATTAAATTTAATTAGGTGCTGTAAGTATAGGCAATTGTCATTTCCTATAATTGCACCTAATTGGCACTTAATTACTTGTTATTAATATTTATCGTATATAATTTTTAAACTTTGTACCTAATTAGCACCAATAAAGCCCCTAATTTTGGGTTTTTCTAACTGTCAATGCGAGTGTCGGGCCTCTCTTTTTCTAACTTCCTATTTCACATAAACATCATCAGCTATACTGTGCGTTAGTTTGTTTTTGTGGTAAAGAAAACGTTTCTATCAAATAGGATATAGGTAGTTGTTGCTTTACTACATCGAATATTAGGCAAACATTATTGGCTTATTTTTTAATTAATAAGACATATACTTAAATGTGAGAGGTAAGACATTAAGGAATTTCCAAAGAAGGTAGTATAAAAGTTTGTAAAATGATACTTTTTATTTATGCACTGAACTCAGAGTATTGAAGCCATTCGGGAATTTTAATAATATAAACAAATTATTTTAAAAAAAAATCAATGTAAGTAACTGTTTTCTTTTTATGTTAAGCAATTAGGCAACATTCTGTATGCTGCACGTATTATGATGTCATTTATTTTGACTTATATTTTGTAGTTTTGTCAAACAATAAATCATATATTATTGTAACAAGAAACAATATTAAGTCAGGCAGTAGACAAGCCCAAAAAAAGATGATTTTGCTTATTAATTATTTATGTGGCTGTGAGGAAGACAAACAAAAATCATTAATGGGTGAAAATTCTTTTCCTAGTACCGAACAAATCTGGGGAATGTTCGGAGCTATATTGGTTACGATTGGATGCTGGATCATGTACTTTAAGGTCGGTAAGGCAATAGTGATCTCAGACCTTAGTATAATTGCATACATATTATGGCGGTTTTTGGGTCGGTACGATATTAGTACATTTATTTTTTAAATTTTTTAAGCAAATCGTTGTTATTTTTTCATTGAGCATACGGCTCACCTGATGTTAAATGCCTACCGCCGCGCATGAACAACTGCAACACCAGCGCATTGTAGGTGCGTTGTTGGCCTTTTAGAAAGAGTAGGTCCCTAAGTCGTATTATAATCTCATAATCTCTAGTGGTAGACGATTCCCCAAAGAAGTCGTGCGAGGAAGAAAACTTCTGGTGAATCGCACAGTTTGGGTCCACAGATATTTTCGACGGGTGCACTGTATACATAATATACAAGAGTTAGGTAGGTACCT